ATTGCTCTATCATATAACGTGGTGTCCCGCAGGCTCAAAGAGTTTCGTTTTTAATTGAGGTTTTTTGTTGTAAGGTTTTGCAAAGCCGAGCAAAAAATACAGTAACTCTTATAGAGAAAGCAAGGCTCTTAAAGTGAATTTGCTATCAGGCGYGTAGCGTGGACGTTTTGGCTAGAGCGGATTTCGTATGAGTGGGACACCGTTACCGCACGGTTACCGCACAGTTACCGGACCTGGCCTTCACGATTTTGGTGAACCAATGGGGCACTAGAATTTGGTTACAGTACGATTACGGTCACAGTACAGTACCGTCCGTTTCCCACTCATACGAAATCCACTCTAGTACGCACATGTCAGGGACCGCGAAACATATTTTGGATTTGGGGGCTGACGACTGCCSAAGGCGAGAGTGTTAAGGGAAGTCTGCGGTCCTCCCCCAGGAAATTTTGAAATAATAACTATTGGAAATGCGATTTCCAGCGTTTTGAGGGGCATCGAGACAATTACATATATATCAAAAAAATCCCGAACATTTTATTTTTTCCTTGCCACTAGTACGCACGTGCGTATATGCGTAAAGGACGCTACGCGCCTGGCTATGTTTATTGAATTGCAGTRTACAGTGAATTACATTAYATTGTATTAGATACAGTACTGTACTTGTGAAATAAATCGCTTCATCATTAAGTCACACTATATTGATTGATCGCTAATCATTAGAATGCTTTTTCAACTATTAAACAAGAATATTTGACGTTGTTTAACAGTTTCATGATCCCTTTCTATTAGACGGACATTTCTACTCGCGGAAACGTTTTTCGTTCCCAAGGGTGTCCGCTTACGGGAKATAATATCAGTATTTGCTCCAAAGCCATAAATCTCAAGAATTTGATGACTTKTTGTGTTCGTTAGGGACCGTTCATTAATTATGCCTTAGGGGGGCCTTGAGGAAAAGTAGGGGGGCTTTGAAAAATAAACAGATAATAAAGGGGAGGCTTTAATGGCATTTGCTGACTTGAAGGGGGGGCTGAAACACAAAATTAAATTATTATACATTTCTTATCAATGATCATTTTAACAACAACTTTACTTTGTTTTTTATAGAGGTCTAAGTACATAAGCATTCACTTGATTATTGTGACTCCTTTTAAAGTTTCTAAATCCTTAGATCACTTGAAGATATTTTCATTTTTTCTTTTTTTTTTTTGAAACAACTACAACAAGGTCTGGCATATCAGCAACAAGAGTGTCAATTGTCTATGTCCATTGAAAAAGTAGTATGTCTATCTGCGAACGTTGTACATTTACTTATATATGATGTTAAACTGCTGACCCATCAAGGTGAAATAAATGTATCACAGTGTAAAACTGATCCGTGTTGGTAGAATATTAGATAAAAACATTAAAAAAATGATGTGAAAAGATCGATCATACACAAAATCTATCAAATCGATCGCGGCGCTAGTAAAAGTATATACATGTATTAGCGTAACCTAGACACGGCATGTTCCACGAAGTGTTTTTTGCTCTCATATATTTTCTGCATAATATGATATCTTGTTATAAAATAACTTTCATATTACGCGCGCTCTGATTGGCCAAAAAGCCGTGTTTGATGAGAGCACAATACACGCTCGCGTCATTTTGTTTTCTCGGCTTTTTTTTCTCATGAATATTTGAGCACTTGTTATTTTATAAAAGCAATAAAAACAGTTTTCCGTGTAGTATACTCTGATAAAAACACTTGGGATGTGGAGAGAACACTCGAGAAGTTGGAAAGAATAGATGGGGAAAGGAAGGGAAGAAATGAAAGAAAATGAAAAAAAAAACAAACAAAGAACTTAAAAAATAACTAAAAAACTTTAGAAGTAAAGGGAGGTTATAAACTAGAAAAAAATGGATAGGTGAGTGAATAAAAACTAAATATGTAAATAAAGAGATGTGGGGGTGATATTAGAGGTGAGTGGAATAAATGAATGCGAAAGAGATGGAGAATAATGAACATGTTGAAGAAGGAAAGGATGATAATGAAAATGAAAGTGTGTATGGGAATGGACAGGCGGGGAGGAGAATAAAATGACGAAAAGATGGAGAAACGCGAGGAGAAGAAAATGAGTAAGAGAGATAGCATGGCGGATAAACCCCTCCTCTATCCAAACCCCTCCTCCATCGAAACCCCTCCTCCATCCAAAACCCTCCTCCATCCAAAACCCCCTCCATCCAAAACCCTCCTCCATCCAAACCCCTCCTCCATCCAAACCCCTCCTCCATCCAAACCCCTCCTCCATCCGGCCTACAGAACAAAAATGAATCTCTAGACAAAATAATTGCATTATGGTACCTTGGCAACTGCCATTGTACATGACCCACTCCTCCCGGCCATAATTACAAGCCCTTCTTTTCATGTGACACTCCGACAGATAAGTTATGTTGAAGTTACTGCAAACTGTAAGTGATTTGTTTGAGCAGTTCCTCTGAGGGCAGACACATCGTACTTTGTTCTTTATYTTCTTACACACCTTACCAAGTGTGCACTTCTTGTTCTTGCATGTCACTGAAAACAAACGCTGTATCAATCACAAAACCGTCGTAGCTAGCATAAGATGAGCGACAAGTCTACCCTCCTACCCCTACATTCTTATCACAATAGTTGTTTTTTCTTACTACTACTATTGCTATCGAGATATTTAATGTCGATAGTTCGAATGTCACCTGGTTTAAGACTATACTTCCAGACTCTGCATGGCTTACAATCGTCCATCCCAACAACAAGAAATTTGGGAGAGTTGGGAGGGTTGAGCTCTTGGTAATTAGGCTGCTTGAAGAAAAAATTTCTGAAGATTTCTTTATCGGTGATGTTTCGTTTTGTATAATAGGCGCCTCCACGACTGCAGCATTGCGCCACACTTATGTTTTTGTAGAGGAAGCCTTCGCATTTCTTTCTCGAGTTGATGCGAGCGAAGCACCCACCAGCTAGTCAACAATAAAATGAATAATAATTAGGATCTAATTTAATCAGAATGAATTAACAAACTACTGATGGTGATGCGCAGAATGAGCAACGAAACACAATAATCATTAACATAATATGGTGAGCTTGACCTATAATAACYCATTTCCTGGTCAGTTGAATGTGAGTCACTCACAAAAGAATTGAAAACAAGTATCAATTCTTTTCATTGGTCYAATTCAATTCAATCGCGCGGGATCCCTGATTTTCATTGAATTCAGCTTYGAAAGCGTTGGATTCCGCCCTGAATCCTTCATTACACAATTGTTTGGGTTAAATGCTGGGAGATTTTAGGTTTTTGAATTTTAGGTTGTTTTTGAGACTGATATTTCAAAAAATTAAATGTACCCCATATAAGGAGTTGTCAATMAAACTATTGTAGATTCACATTCCTCTGAGTTCGTTTACTTCAGCGACGCCCGTCGAATTTGAGACTGCTCGCTAAATTAGCCAGTACTCGCTCTCAAATTCGCCCAAAAACCGTTTTCAAGTGATTTTTAGTCATTTGCTGCCACAGAAGCCCCTAGGACTGCATTATTAAGCTCGACTAGGCGGCAGAGACACTCTTCTGGAAAAAATCAGAGGCGGGAAGCGAATTTTCGAAGACAATGTCGCCAATACGAAGTCAGCTTTGAATTGCCAGCATAATGGAAATTTGCATGAGCATGCGCTAAAACCGCTGATACACGTCTGTAAATTGCAGTCGCATTTGTGATTATTTTAATTGGAGTTCAGAAAAGACATTAAAATACCCAGATCAGTCCAAATATAGTTAGCTCAAATTTACTTTAAGTACATTTAAATAGTGAATATGCCTACAATATGTAAAACAGGCAAAAAAATCATATAAGACATTCTTTGGTTTCATTTTTATTGAGATTTATAAAATACACAAACAGCAATATTATAAGTAAAATGCATAAAAGACAGATTACTAGATTTTTATTAGGCTATACTTAGAACAATGAACAAATTTCAAACAATTTGGTATTAAAACGTTCGAGTGTTGTCAATCGTAAAGAAATACGGAATCGGTGATAGTTTCGATATATATGTCCAGAAGAAACCTCATCAGCTTTTGAAGACTAAAGCTGTGCAATTAACGATCTGCATCAARGACACTTTTGTGCTCATCGGTATGATAAATTAGCAGCATTCTAAAGAAAGAATTCAAACAATATTCAATAATTATGCAAACACAACATACACAACACAAATCAAGCTAATTTTCTTCATGTTCCCCATTTTTTAGAATAATTTTAGCAATACATATTGAAAGTATATCAAACGTACGTTTCAAATCAGTTGGATTTTGTGTGGCGGTCGTGATTAGATTTCGCAAAATATGCATTCAAACTATTGCGACTGTTAATATAAATGGACATATTTTCAGTTGGATAAATTTTGAAGGAAGTTATACACGATCTCAAAATTTGCGAGAGTTAAATAATATTTGAGGTATTAACTGTTGAGAACATAGGTCCTCGTCCATTATTTAGTATTTTAAGGGAATATGTAGTAGCAAACAAATAGAGCGCTATGACAAARGTCGACGGTATATCGTGTATAAATYGATCCAAAAATCAAAGTTCCCCATTTTTTAAAACAAATAGAGCACAAWGTTCCTAGTAAGAAAGGTTAMCTSTTCCTTTTGCAACAAAGAAAAGTGTGGCGGTCGTGATTTCGATATAATTGAGCAATTACAATCGGTTAACAACAAATTTCGCTAAAATCGCCAAGATTACGACAAAGTATTCCTGTCAATATAAGGCTTTGATGATATTAATAACACGATAATTTAACACTGTATAGAATATAGACTATTCACTATAGAAATAAAAAGCTTACCTGATTCCTTCTTTGAAATATCAAGGCCGTTCTAGTGGATACCAGTCAACAAACCGCCATATTGCTCATTCACATTCTTAGAACAGAATGTCAGAACAAATAGCTTTTCAAGCACTCAATATCTACTATTTGTTATATTGGTAAATTATTTTCACTGTTTTCTCGCTCTATTATTGGACGATTCGGTGTCACGTGTCCGGAGCTAAAATCGACTGTTGACTGATCGGTCAACAAGTCATGGCGATTGTTGACCGCATGGCGGGAAAAGGCCGCCTCGCGTCGAGTAACAGTTTGTAAAGGCGGGAATTGTTTTTTGCTGCTTTCGACTGTTTACAAAATGGAGCCGGCATCAAAAAGATTTTCAAATCTTAGTCAAGAAATAGACAAAATGGTTGTCAACAAAGACTCGGAAAACACTAACAAAGCTACAAAGACTGCTGTGGCTACGACTTAGTGATAGAATTCTGCAGAGAAACCAAGAGAGAAACGGTGAATTTGGACAAATGTCAGGTTAAAGTTCTATTCAGGAACTCATTGACTGTTTCATTCAAAAAGTTTTGCTAGTTTTTTGGCATTTGTATATTTATATTATTTTTATTTTCAAGCACAATGCAGTAATCTAAACGCTCAACATTCACGTTCACAGTTATTATATTCACAATAAAGTATTATTGGAAATCATCTTGCAATRTGTTTTGATTTATTTTTATTCACATAATTTACCAATACCTCGGGAAACATTGAGATTCTCGGGAAACAAAACTAACCGTTTCCCTTGGGAACAGTCATTAAGTGTATAATATTCTCAAGTCATGTCCAGAGGAGGTAATAAAAGCGACGAAGAATCCATTTTGTAGCAAAGGCGTGTATTTGTATAAAATATTTGGGCAAAATTTAAAAGGAAATACCGAAACCACCTCGATAAATATTAACTTGATACACCTGAATTCATATGAACGAGCAATCGGGTACGAGATTGATGAACGAGCAACTGACGCATGCGCATACGAAACTCCGTTATGCTTGAATTGCCGCAATCTCGTTCCAGAGCCCGCGTTCCTCTTGGCCTGAGGGCGCGAGCTACCACGAAATCTGGCCTAATCCATATTTTTCATCAGATTTTCTGGTGTYCCGGTTAAATTGCGCATGCGTGTCAAAAAAAAATGGCGGAAAAYTTGTTTTATAGTTCGCTAGACCAYGGTCTATCGGCTATAGGAATGCCAAATTTAGCTTTGAAAACCAAACAATTTGAAATTTTAGAAAGTGTTGTTGTGTTGGCCGGTGAAGACATTTGAAATTTTGAATTTTTTCGCTAATACTAACGAGATTTGTGGCGCATAGTCTACATAAATATCCAGAGAAACCGTCGTCTTCAATGTATGTTATCTACTGAGCATATATCTTGCAAAGACGTTAAAACGCCCTCTCTCTCTTCGACTTGTTTCCAAACAAATCTATACTTTGTAGCGATCTAAAAGTTTATTGCAAAGTCTACAAGTATTATAAACTTGCTGCGTCGCCRCTTTCTTCGRAGAAGACATTGCYACACTCTGTYGCTACACTTTACAATTAATTTTTGTTTACAATTTTACAACATCTTCAGTGGGGCTATCCCGAATTTTGGCGCTGTTTTTCGCAACTATGATTGGTCAAATTTTACTTCCGGGGACGTCCGCATTCGTACTGAGGAAATTCTATCGACAAATTAAAACCGCGCAAAATATGGATTAGGCCAGAGTGGTTGCTCGCGCCCTCAGGCCAAGAGGAACGCGGGCTCTGGAACGAGATTGGAATTGCCGACGTTAGAGAAAGGTCGCCTCCCTAGTCGTTCTGTGGCAGATTTCATAACCTTTCAAGTGCAAAAATACTAAAAACCTGGAATGGCCAATTTCAAAAAACGTAGAATTTCGATTTGCAAAACATGATTTCGACTCTTCGAAATTTAGGCATTCCTATTTTTCAGGGGTCCATTTTGCCCAGATATAGCGCTTGATGTGAAATCTTTTCAACTCTAAGATAGAACTATATTACTAGCGCTGTTGTCATGGAGTATATGCAGCGTTTATTTGAGGGCGGCGTCGATTCGGTGACGGCTTCTATTCGAGTAAATACGGTATACTAGAGATGAACACTTACTTAGATTTTTATACTAGCAAAATTAAACCCGCTTACAAATATGGTAGCCAGTGTTTCAAATGCTCCTCATTCTTACGAGGTACACTCATATACTCAAGTTTGATACAGTACTGTACTCTCAATATAACTGTATAAAGACTCTAACAGCACGAGTCTACCCTGGTGTCAGGGTACAGGGATACAGTACTGTACTCTCAATATAACTGT